CACAAAAATCCCTGCAAAAGAATCAGTGAATCCAGCAGCCAGTTTTTTGAAAGGTCAACAAAATAGCCTGGTAGCAGACTAGTAAAGAAGAAAAGAGAGTAGTATAAAATACATGCAATAAAAAGTGATAAAGGGGATATCACCACTGATCTCACAGAAATATAAACTACCATCAGAGGACACCATAAACACCTCTACACAAATAAACTAAAAAATCTAGAAGAAATGCATAAATTCCTGGACACATACACCTACCGAAGTCTAAACCAGAAGAAGTCAAATCCCTAAATAGACTAATAACAAGTTCTAAAATTGAAGCAGCAATTAATAGTCTACCCACCAAAAAAGTCCAGGACCAGTCAGATTCATACCTGAGTTCAACCAGAGGTACAAACAGGAGCTGGTATCATTTCTTCTGAAACTATTCCAAACAATAGAAAAAGAGGGAATCCTTCCTAACTCATTTTATGAGGCCAGCATTATCCTGTTACAAAAACATGGCAGAGACACAAAAAAAGAAAATTTCAGAACAATATTCCTGATGATCATTGATGCAAAAATCCTCAATAAAATACTGGCAAACTAAATCCAGCAGCACATCAAAATGATTATCCATTACGATCAAGTTGGCTTCACCCCTGGGATGCAAGGCTGGTTCAATATATGCAAATCAATAAACATAATCCATCACATAAACAGAATCAATGTCAAAAAGCACATTATTACCTCAATAGATGCAGAAAAGGCTGACAACAAAATTTAAGAGCCCTTCATGTTAAAAACTCTAATAAACAAAGTATCAATGGAATGTATCTCAAAATAATAAGAGCTATTTATGACAAACCCACAGCCAATATACGGAATGGGCAAAAACTGGAAGCATTCCTTTTGAAAACTGGCACAAGACAAGGATGCCCTCTCTCACCACTCCTATTCAATATAGTATTGGAAGTCCTGGCCAGGTCAATCAGGCAAGAGAAACAAATAAAGGGTATTCATGTAGGAAAAGAGGAAGTCAAATTGTCTCTATTTGCAAATGACATCATTGTTTAGTCAGACAACCCCATCATCTCAGCCCAAAATCTCCTTAAGCTGATAAGCAACTTCAGTTTAAGTATCAAGATACAAAATCAATGTACAAAATTTATAAGCAGTCCTATACACCAATAACAAACAGAGAGCCAAATTATGAGTGAACTCCCATTCACAATTGCTACAAAGAGAATAAAACACCTAGGAATACATACAAGGAATGTGAAGGACCTCTTAAAGGAGAACTATAAACCACTGCCCAAGGCAGAGACAAATAATGGATAAACATTCCATGCTCATGGATAGAAAAAAATCAACATCATGAAAATGGCCATACTGCCCAAAGTAATTTATAGATTCAGTGCTTTCTCCATCAAGTTACCATTGACTTTCTTCATAGAATTGAAAAAAAAAAAACTACTTAATTTCATATGGAACCAAAAAAGAGTCCATATAGGCAAGACAATACTAAGCAAAAAGAACAAAGCTTGAGGCATCATACTACCTGACTTCAAACTATATTACAAGGCTAGAGTAACCAAAACAGCATGGTACTGGTACCAAAACAGATATACAGACCAATAGAACAGAATAGAGGCCTCAGAAATAACATCACATGTCTACAACCATCTGGTCTTTGACAAACCTGATAAAAACAAGCAATGGGGAAAGGATTCTCTATTTAATAAATAGTGTTGGGCAAACTGGCTAGCCATATGCAGAAAGCTGAAACTGGATCCCTTCCTTACACCTTATACAAAAATTAACTCAAGATGGATTAAACACTTAAACATAATACTTACCACCATCAAAACCCTAGAAGAGAACCTAGGCAATATCCTTCAGGACATAGGCATGGACAAAGACTTCATGACTAAAACACCAAAAACAATGGCAACAAAAGCCAAAATAGACAAAAGGGATCCAATTAAAATAAGAGCTTCTGCATAGCAAAAGAAACTAACATCAGAGTGAGCAGACAACCTAGAGAATGAGAGAAAATTTTTGCAATCTATCCATCTGACAAAGGGCTAATATCCAGAATCTATAACAGGCTTAAACAAATTTACAAGAAACAAACAAACAAACAATCCCATCAAAAAGTAGGCAAAGGATATGAACAGTCCCTTCTCTAAAGAAGACATTTATGCAGCCAACAAACAAGAAAAAAGCTCATCATCACTGGTCATTAGAGAAATGCAAATGAAAACCACATGGAGATACCATCTCATGCCAGTTAGAATGGCAATCATTAAAAAGTCAGGATGCTGGTGAGGATGTGGAGAAATAGGAACACTTCTACACTGTTGGTGGGAGTGTAAATTCGTTAAACCATATTAGTTCAATCATTGTGGAAGACAGTGTGGTGATTCCTCAAGGATCTAGAACTAGAAATACTATTTCACCCAGTAATCCCATTACTAAGTATATACCCAAAGGATTAGAAATCATTCTACTATAAAGACACAATCACATGTATGTTTATTGCAGCACTCTTTACAATAGCAAAGACAATCCAAATGCTCATCAGTGATAGATTGTGGCACATGCACCCCATGGAATACTATGCAGCCATAAAAAAGGGTGAGTTCATGTCCTTTCAGGGACATGGATGAAACTGGAAACCATAATTCTCAACAAACTAACACCAGAACAGAAAACCAAACAACATATGTTCTCACTCATAAGTGGTAGTTGAGCAATGAGAACACATGGACACAGGGAAGGGAACATCACACACCGGGGCCTGTCAGGGAATAGGGGGCTAGGGAAGAGATAGCATTTGGAAAAATACCTAATGTAGATGGCAAGTTGATGGATGTAGCAAACCACCATGACCTATGTAACAAACCTGCACATTCTGCACATGTATCCCAGAACTTAAAGTATAATAATAATAATAAAACAATTCAACAGCAAAAAGAACAAATAATACACAAACACAATCAACAAAATGAAAAGAGAACCTATGAAATGGGAGAAAATATTTGTAAACCATATACCTGTTAAATAATTAATATCCAAAATGATAAGCATACAACTTAATAGCAAAACCTCCCAAATAATTCAATTCAAAAATGGCCAACAAACCTAAATAAACATTTTTCCATAGAAGATATGCAAATGGCAAAGAGGTATATGATCATCAGGGAAATGTAAGTAAAAATGCCAGTGAGATATTACCTCACACCTATTATTATAACTATTATTAAAAAGACACAAGATAGCAAGTATTGGCAAAGATGTAGAGAAAAGGGAATCCTTGTACACCATTAATAGAATGCAGATTAGTATACCCATTATGTAAAACAATATGTAATTTCCATAAACAATTAAAATAGAATGGCCGGGCGCGGTGGTTCATGCCTGTAATCCCAGCACTTTGGGAGGCCGAGGTGGGTGGATCCCGAGGTCAAGAGATCGAGACCATCCTGGTCAACATGGTGAAACCCCGTCTCTACTAAAAATACAAAAATTAGCTGGGCATGGTGGCACGCGCCTGTAATCCCAGCTACTCGGGAGGCTGAGGCAGGAGAATTGCCTGAACCCAGGAGGCGGCGGTTGCGGTGAGCCGAGATCGCGCCATTGCACTCCAGCCTGGGTAACAAGAACGAAACTCCATCTCAAAAAAAAAAAAAAAAAAGTAGAACTACCATAAGATTCAACAATCCTACTACTGCATATATATCCAAAGAAATGAAATCATTTTGTTAAAGAAGTATCTGTACCCCCATTGCAGCATTATTCACAATAGCCAAGATAAGAAAGCAATGTAAGCGCTTATCAACAGATGAATGAATAAAGAAAATTTGGTATTATACACAAAAGAATACTATTCAGCCTTTAAAACTAAGAAAATTGTGTCATTTGTCTCAATAAAGATGAACTTGGAAGACATTATGTTAAGTTAAATAAGCCAGATACAAAAACACAAACACTGTGTAGTCTCACTTATATGTGGAATCTATTAAAGTTAATATAAAAACAGAATAGGATGGCAGTTTCCAGGGCTGAGGGTTGGAGGGAATTAAGATGTTGGTCAAAACATACGAGAATTCAGTTTGAAAGAAAAATAAGTTCTAAGTATCTAATGTACAGCATGGTGACTGTAGTTAATACTGTATTGATTACCTGAAATAGGCTAGAAAAATAGATCTTACATGTCCTCACCATGCACTCACACTCACACACAAGGTGACTATGAATGGTGATGGATATATGATTAATTTGGTTGTGGTAGTCATTACATAATGAATATGTATCTCAAATTATCACATTACATCTTTAATATAAACCATTTTAATTTGTCAATTATGCTTCAATAAACCTGGGGGAAAAAGAAAGAAAAGCTGAGAAGAATCTTTAAAAATCCAAGGAAAATTCATTGATTTTTCATGCCTTCGTGACAATTTACATCCCCTTATTGGTCTTAAGTGAAGAGAGAAATCCTGCTCCACTTAAATTATTAATATCTTTGTAAACAATATTTTATATACTATTCAGAAATGATTTTCTGTGACAGTCTATTGTATTGAAAAAGCTTAAAATGTTTATATATTTTAACTGAACTATGTTCTCCAGTATCAAATGTAATTATCCAGGCAAAAGTCTACTAGCATCAGTATTTAAAATACAATAGTTTAAAATATACTCAGTTTGATGTAACTTACTTTATATCAAAAATACTTAAAAACTATGAAAATGAAAACCATCTCTTCCATCTCCCTCCAAAAACCTGTATTGTATTAACTTATTTTAACCTACTTTTCACATATTTTCCTTCACATATATTAAGCTCACATACAAAGAAATTTGAGGAAAAGGACTTATAAAACAAGTTTAGTAAAAGTAAGAGAAGGAATGAAGAAAAGAAGAGAACAACTGAGAAAAGCTGCGAGAGAGAAAAGAAGGAAGTGGAAAGGAAAAGAAAGAAAAAATAAAAGAAGAAGAAATGAGAAACCACTCACCTTGATGGACCAGGTCCCAAGTATCATCAATTTGTTTCTGAGTTGGGAAGTGACCACAGTCACTGAAGAAACTGGGTAGCTCACCTCTTTCTATTTTTTGCCAATCTTCTCTCTTAGCAAACATTATTTCATAGACTAAAAGGACGAAAATGTAAATGAATATATTTTCTTTTAAAAAATATATCAAATAAAAAACTTTAACTCTAGCTTTATTTTCATGTCCACTAGTAACTCTCAATGATTAGACTAGCACTATGTCAACCTTCTGGCAAAGAGTAGAAGGAAGTGGGCATGCTTCTCTCTCCCCACATTCCACAGTAGTGAAACTTTTACTTGAATCCCCAAGATGAATACCGGTATCTTCTATACTGGCTTCGTGACAATTGACCATAAATCCTACAATGTAAACTCAACCATTTCATAAGACATAGCTTTTATTCCTGGACTTCAGGGGACATAACTCCTACTGATCCATTTAACTCTTCATTGTTTATTAGCTACTCTAATCTTTTCATTTCCTTTTGGCTTTTACTCATATTCTAACTACTTACCTTGGTAATTCCACTTTGGATGGCTTATTCTATTTCTAAAGTTGCCCCCAAATTGGGAGCAATGTATACTTTTTGCTCACTAACTTCATGTATTCTACTTTCACATATATATATATTTATTGCATTTTAGGTTCTGGGGTACATGTAAAGAACATGCAGGATTGTTGCATAGGTATATACATGGCAATGTGGTTTGCTGCCTTCCTCCCCTTCACCTATATCTGGCTTTTCTCCCCATGTTATCTCTCCCCAACTCCCTACCCCCCAACTGTCCCTTCCCTAGTCCCCCACAACAGATCTCAGTGTATGATGATGCTCCCCTCCCTGTGTCCCTGTATTCTCAATGTTCAACACCCACCTATGAGTGATAACATGCAGTGTTTGATTATCTGTTCTTATGTCAGTTAGCTGAGAATGGTTTCCAGATTCATCCATGACCCTACAAAGGAAATGAACTCATCATTTTTTATGGCTGCATAGTATTCCATGGTGTATATGTGCCACATTTTCCCTATCCTGTCTAACATCAATGGGCATTTGGATTGGTTCCAAGTCTTTGCTATTGTAAACAGTGCTGCAATGAACATACGTGTGCATGTGTCCTTATAGTAGAATGATTTATAATCCTTTGGGTATATACCCAGTAATGGAATTGCTGAGTCAAATGGAATTTCTATTTCTAGGTCCTTGAGGAATCACCACACTGTCTTCCACAATGGCTGAACTAATTTACAGTCCTACCAACACTGTAAAAGTGTTCCTATTTCTCCACATCCTCTCCAGTATCTGTTGTCTCCAGATTTTTTAATGATCGCCATTCTAACTGGCATGAGATGCTATCTCAGTGTAGTTTCGATCTGCATTTCTCTAATGACCAGTGATGATGAGCATTTTTTCATGTCTGTTGGCCTCATATAGGTCTTCTTTTGAAAAGTGTCTATTCATATCGAATTTGCCCACTTTTGAATGGGTTTGTTTGTTTTCTTCTTGTAAATCTGTTTTAATTCTTTGTAGATTTTGGATATAAGCCCTTTGCCAGATGGGTAGATTGCAAAAATTTTTTCCCATTCTGTTGGTTGCTGGTTCACTGTAATGATTGTTTCTTTTGCTGTGCAGAAGCTCTGGAGTTTAATTAGATCCCATTTGTCTATTTTAGCTTTTGTTGCCAATGCTTTTCATGTTTTAGTCATGAAGTCCTTGACTATACCTAAGTCCTGAGTGGTTTTGCCTAGGTTTTCTTCTAAGGTTTTTATGGTGTTAGGTCTTATTGTTAAGTCTTTAATCAATCTGGAGTTAATTTTAATGTAAGGTTTCAGGAAGGGGTTCAGTTTCTGCTTTCTGCGCATGGCTAGCCAGTTTTCCCAACACCATTTATTAAACAGGAAATCCTTTCCCCATTGCTTGTTACTGTCACGTTTGTCAAAGATCAAATGGCTGTAGATGTGTGGCATTGCCTCGAAGGCCTCTATTCTGTTCCATTGTTCTATATCTCTGTTTTGGTACCAGTACCATGCTTTTCTGATAACCATAGCCTTGTAGTATAGTTGGAAGTCAGGTACTGTGATGCCTCCAGCTTTGTTCTTTTTGCTTAGAATTGACTTGGCTCTTTGGGCTCTATTTTGGTTCCATATGAAGTTTAAAGTGGTTTTTTCCAGTTTGGTGAAGAAGGTCATTGGTAGCTTGATAGGGATAGCATTGAATCTATAAATTACTTTGGGCAGTATGGCCATTTTCACAATATTGATTCTTCCTAACCATGAGCATGGGATGTTTCTCCATCTGTTTGTGTCCTCTCTTACTTCCTCAAGCAGTGGTTTGTAGATCTTCTTGAAAAGATCCTTTACATCCTTTGTTAGTTGTATTCCTAGGTATTTTATTATCTTTGTAGCAATTGTGAATGGTAGTTCACTCTGAATTTGGCTCTCTTTAAGTCTGTTATTGGTGTATAGGAATGCTTCTGATTTTTGCACGTTGATTTTGTATCCTGAGACTTTGCTGAAGATGCTTATCAGTTTGAGGAGATTTTGGGCTGAGACAATAGGGTCTTCTAAATACACAATCATGTCATCTGCAAATAGAGATGATTTGACTTCCTCCTTTCCTAATTGAATGTGCTTTATTTCTTTTTCTTGCCTGATTGCTCTGGCCAGAACTTCTAATACTATATTGAATAGGAGTGGTGAGAAAGGGCATCTTTGTCTAGTGCCAGATTTCAAAGAGAATACTTCCAGTTTTTGCCCATTCAGTGTGATATTGGCTGTGGGTTTGTCATAAATAGCTTTTATTATTTTGAGATATGTTCCTTTGATACCTAGTTTATTGAGAGTTTTTAGCATAAAGGGCTGTTGAATTTTGTCAAAGGCCTTCTGTGTTATCTATTGAGATAATCATGTGGTTTTTGTCTTTGTTTCTGTTTATGTGGTGAATTACATTTATAGACTTGTGTATGTTGTACCAGACTTGCATCCCCGGGATGAAGCCTACTTGATCATGATGGATAAGTTTTTTGATATACTTTTGCAATCAGTTTACCAGTATTTTATTGAAGATTTTTGCATCTATGTTCATCATGGATATTGGCCTGAAGTTTTCTTTTCTTGTTGAGTCTCTTCTGGGTTTTGGTATCAGGATGATGTTGGATTCATAAAATGATTTGGGTAGGATTCCCTCTTTTGGGATTGTTTAGAATAGTTTCAGAAGAAGTGGTACCAGCTCCTCTTTGTATGCCTGGTAGAATTCCACTGTGAACCCATCTGGACCTGGGCTTTTTTTGGTTGGTAAGCTATTAATTGCTGCCTCAACTTCAGCCCTTGGTATTGGTATATTTCGGGTTTTGACTTCTTCCTGGTTTAGGCTTTAAAAGGTCTAAGTGTCCAGGAATTTATCCATTTCTTCCAGGTTTAATGGTTTATGTGTATAGAGTTCTTTGTAGTAATCTCTGATGGTGGTTTGTATTTCTGGGAAATCTGTGGTGATATCCCCTTTATCATTTTTTATTGCATCTATTTGATTATTCTCTCTTTTCTTTTTTATTAATCTGGCTAGTGGTCTTTCTATTTTGTTGATCTTTTCAAAAAACCAGCTCCTGGATTTATTGATTTTTTGAACTGTTTTTTGTGTTTCTATCTCCTTCAGTTCTGCTCTGATCTTAGTTATTTCTTGTCTTCTGCTAACTTTTGAATTTTTTGATCTTGCTTCTCTAGCTCTTTCAATTTTGATGATAGGGTATTGATTTTAGATCTTTCCTTGCTTCTCATATGGCCATTTATTGCTGTAAATTTTCCTCTAGACACTGCTTTAAATATGTCCCAGAGATTCTGGTACATTGTGTCTTTATTCTCACTGGTTTAGAAGAAAATCTTTATTTCTGCCTTAATTTCATTGTTTATCCAGTCAACATTCAACAGCCAGTTATTCAGTTTCCATGAAGTTGTGTGGTTCTGAATTAGTTTCTGAATTCTGAGTTCTAATTTGATTGCACTGTGGTCTGAGAGTCTGTTTGTTATGATTTCTGTTCTTTTGCATTTGCTGAGGAGTAATTTACTTCCAATTATGTGGGCAATTTTAGAGTAGGTGTGATGTGTGAGAAGAATGTATATTCTGTGGATTTGGGGTGCAGAGTTCTGTAAATGTCTATTAGGTTTGCTTGGTCCAGGTCTGAGTTCAAGTCCTGGATAACCTTGTTAATTTTCTGACTCATTGATCTGTCTAATATTGACAGTGGAGTGTTAAAGTCTCCTACTATTATTGTGTGGGAGTCTAAGTCACTTTGTAGGTATTAAGGACTTGCTTTATTTATCTGGGTGCTCCTGTATTGGGTGCATATATATTTAGGATCATTAGCTCTTCTTGTTGCATTGATCCTTTTACCATTATATAATGCCTGTCTTTGTCTCTTTTGACCTTTGTTGGTTTAAAGTCTATTTTATCAGAGACTAGGACTGCAACTCCTGCTTTTTTTTTTTTTTTTTTTTTTTTTTTTTTTGCTCACCGTTTGCTTGGTAAATCTTCCTCCATCCCTTTATTCTGAGCCTATTTCTATCCTTGCATGTGAGATGGTTTCCTGGATACAGCACACCAATGGTTTTTGAGTTTTTTATCCAATTTGCCATTCTGTGTGTTTTGATTGGGGCATTTAGCCCATTTACATTTAAGGCTAATATTGTTATATGTGAATTTGATCCTGCCATTTTGATGCTAGCTGGTTGTTTTGCCTATTAGTTCATGGAATTTCTTCATTGTGTTGATGCTCTTTACCATTTGGTATGTTTTTGGAGTGGCTGATCCTGGTAATTCCTTTCTATGTTTAGTGCTTCTTTCAGGAGCTCTTGTAAAGCAGGCCTAGTGGTCGTGAAATCTCCAACCAATTGCTCCTTTGTAAAGGATTTTATTTTTCCTTCCCTTATGAAGTTTCATTTGGCTGGATATGAAATTCTAGGTTGAAAGTTCTTTTCTTTCTTTTTTTTTTTTTTGAGACGGAGTTTTGCTCTTGTTACCCAGGCTGGAGTGCAATGGCACGATCTCAGCTCACTGCAACATCCACCTCTTGGGTTCAGTCAATTCACCTGCCTCAGCCTCCTAAGT